TTCGCCGCCGCGCACGGCACGTCCCGTTGCGGCGTATATTGTACGGCGGTGCGGCACTTCGCTCTGCGGAAGCGCCGCCGGAGCACGGAGTGAGGCGCGGGCGCGCGGGCCTCGGGCACGCTCGGCTGCGCGCGGCGCGAAGTCGGCCGCGAGTCGGGCCGGGCGCGGGGCGCGCCGCCCAGGCTCGCCAACCGCCAACCTCGCCAACTTCGCTCGAGCGGCCCCGGCCGCGCGAACGAATCGAATCCTACTTTGCGCGACGCGCAAATTTCTCCGGAAATCGATGAGGCATACGTGACGAATGCTCGACTAATTTCTCGCGAAAATAAATCTATTAACTGATGTTTGTCTCGGCTAGTAAAAAATCTCAAATATCTTGCGACAAAGCACTCTCGCTACTTTATCGGATTTTATTTTCTATTAGCGACTTCACATTTCCTAATTTATCTTTTAATTGTGCAAGTAGAATATATGTTACACGTATCGTAACGCCGAATGTAAAATAAAAGTAAAACGTGGAAGATTATTTGTCTAAATTTTTAACAAACTTATTATGTTAAAAATTACGCGCTATCGAAACATTTATTGCTCCATTACATCAAATATTTCAGTATTAGCGTATAATGGTCGCAAAAATGCGCCGCGCGGGTTTTTTATCTCTAAAAATTTTATTAATCAATTAAACTACGTTAACGTCTAAATTCTAATCTTGTAAAATTTGATTTCTATCCAACACGTTTTCCTTCACGTTCACAAGATAATCTTGAGAAACTAGTCGAAAAAATCAACTAAGAAATTAAAATCTACACCCTATACTTATACAATTTCACATTCGACGTAAAACGTCGATTTCGAGTGCCACTTGACGCAAACAATTGAAAAATATCATGAAAGTATAAACTTCCCAGCATAAACCACACCTGTTCACTTTATCGATATACTTTATATCGCCTTTCGGAAAATGATCGCGGATTACCGTAAACGTCCGGACATGGTCTCATATTGGACGAGACACGATAACGCCGCGACCCGATTATAATCCGATAATAAGGTAAATTCCATCTTACCGGATCCCCGATAACGATAATCGCGCGTACGCCGCTGCTCGCTGCACGATAAAGCGAAGGCTCTCGCGTTTATAGGACGCGATAAAACTCAAAGCGCGACACGACGAAGAATCGCCGCAAGACCAACTGAATATCGCAGCGAAATATCGATACGAATTAACGACTTCCCCCCTCCGTGCCGCGAAATCGAATCGAGATCTCGACGAACGTCAGGCGGTCGAAGTGAAGCGGGTAGCTGAACGCGACCAATTCTCCTTTTCCAAGTTCTATACTTTCTGTAGTTATTCCTTTCCTTGCTTCATGGAAAACCTAACCAATAAATCTAACCTGTATCACCCAAAGAGGTTGTGATTAAATTTATATGAAAATAATTTTCATATAAAAATAAATTATCGCACAGTTTCATGAATTGTAGTTTAATAAATAATTTATAATTATTATAAATATATATTTATTTCTACATAAAGCGCAAGTATTTAACATGATTAGGCTATTTCGATTAGCGCGAACTTTTTTTCTTCTATCGCAAATAAGATATGCTCATCGAGCAGCTTAGAAAAGAAAACGGATCTGTATCGACAATTGTATGCAAAAATATTGGCGTGCGGTCCCATAACGCTCGCCGAATACATGAAGGAGATATCTTGATCCATCCTACTGCAGAGGTTATTACACGACTAGAGACGTTTTCGGGCAAAAAGGCCATTTCACAACTTCTCCAGAAATCGGTCAACTTTTTGGAGAAGTATGTAACTCTCTCATTCTCGGGTTGAATACGATCTATTATCTGATATTAGTTACGTCGACGACTTCCTAAAAGATTATAAAATTGGCGTTATGTTGATGTTCTTGCTAAGAA